CTGCTTTTATACTGAGAGCAACTAGGGTGCATCTCCTAGTTCATTGATGTTGTTGACATCGCTCGCGTTGTTGACGAGCGAATTCAAAATCGATATGTTTAAGCAAATTTTTTTGATGGATTTTGAGACAGATGTACGAACAAACATGTCATATATATGTGAGTTTGGTTTTCTTATATGTATAATCTCAGTAAATCAATCTCAAAAAAATATATCCATCTGTCTGTGTGTACGTGCATATATAAGAATACATATATAGTTGTGTGTATAAAGATTTCTTCGGGAATTTTTCTGCAGGGTGTTTAAAATCCGCGATTTTCTGCACATTACTTCGCGTCTCCATTCTTCTGCGAGACGTAAGTAAATAGGTAAGAACGATATTAGATTTACCCAGGAAGCGGACCCTTTCACGTATCCTACGGCCGGAAAAACTCGCGCGAAAAGCGATAAACGACGCGTCACGGCGTGTTTCGCGATATCAATCCGATCGTCGTGAGCGCGAAATATATTTCTGAAAATAGATTATCGGTTCAGCGATGCGGAAGGTAAAAACGCTGAAGCATGTTGTCACGGATGCGATCCTATATCCCGCGTTCAAATGGAATAAAATACCAAATATACGCGATTCAACAAACTAGATTCGGTGAAATATATATGTTCATAATGCTTTTACTTATCGCGAATAAATCACGCAGTCCTCCATCATGTCGATACAAATATTTATTCCTTGCAAAAATGTAAAAATAAGATAGTGATATCCTTTTCAATCTTTGTACAAGAGAGGCCAATGTTGACGCCGTGAATTATATTGTAGCACGAGAGACTTTCGACAAACTCGTCGGCGAATATTGAAAAAGTGGATATATAAAATGATCACAAAGACTTTCGCAAGGACACATTTTCATATAGCGTCGTATATATCGGGTAAGAAAGATTCTCCGTATATTCCGATAATCCATTCCTTCGTCGTCACGTAGAGAGCGTATACTGACGTTACCATATATACGCGACCGTATCCCTAATAGAAAGTTTTCTTTTTCCGTTGGACTGTATTTTTCGTTGGGCGCATCGAATATCCTCCCTCGAATTTCATCGCGACGTATCTCGTATTTTGCGCGCTTTTCGCATGTACATATACATGAGCGTCCGCGAGAGATCTGTGCCGTGATATCGGTTTCTCTTCGGAATCTAGAAATCCCTGATTCGTTCCGCCTGTGCATTGTCGTTCGTCAGGCTACAGTAAAATCCTTTATCTGGTTTTCCGGCTGCGTTTTAAGGTATCAAAATAGTTTCCGCGGATTGCACATCTCTCGCATGTACGCCGCCCCTACTCTGAAGATTTATACATATATGTAATATAATATGAATATTATATGTGGAAGTTTTACCTGTCTGTATAAAATTGTGACAATGCATTAGTGAGAGTTAAGATTTATATATTTTAGATTTTCGAATTAGATTAGATAAAATTAGAATTCAAGCTTGCATTCATTATTGATGGGTACTAATGATATATTTACACATTTCGCCAAAAGAGTGTCAATCGATTGTAATCGATTGTAATCGATTGACACTCTTTTGGCGAAATGTGTAAATATATCATTAGTACCCATCAATGATTGTATTCAAAGTAACGATTGTATTCAAAGTAATACAGATATGAAACGCTTTTATTTATAAAGTGGACAAACATAAATCCGGTATGAAATTGCACAGATAAGGCGCGGCAGATTTGATTAATGAACGTTCTATTGTGTGCGAAACTAATTCCATCTTTTGACTAATGTACTTTTATGATGGAAAACCATCGAACAAATGTACTTTTGTATATTGTGAGATATGTAACTTTCTTTTATAATTTACGATAAATTCAATAGAAACAGTTCTTTTTCTTGTATGTGAGTGTTAAATTGCAAATTGACACAATTAAAATTTAATAAAAAATATATATATAATAATGAAAAATATATACAATTAATAATATTAAATTATATTGCAAATATTTAGAAACAATAAAACTGAAATTGAATTAAATATTTTATGCTGTTAAATACGCATTTTAATACGCAGAATTTCCATTATATGCAAAATAAATATAAATAAATTGCAGCAACAAAATAGATGTACTAATAAATTAAATAAAAAATAATTGAAAGCATATTTTTACTTTATAATTATACTACGAAACGTTATTTGTTTATCTCACTGATTCAAAATATATCTTGTGAGGGCTTCAAAAAGTTTTACATACGTATACAATTTATTGTTTCGCAAGGTTCCACAACTTCTTTGCATTCGCTAAAGCGAAATTATAATTAAATCATCTGCATGCATCGAATAAATTTACTCACCAGCCGTTGTATCGCCGTTACTGCCGTCAGCTGCTTCATTCTTTGCGCCAATTTCTGCTCGAGACTCTTTCACTTCGACTTCACGCACACGTTGCCTCGCAGGAATACAAATGCTGAAAAATATAGTATATAGTATATAGTACATAGCATATAGTTATGTAATAATGATTTTGTTACGATGCAACATGTTACGACGATATCGTTGTGATATTGCATTCGGTACTCACGTCATCTATTTCCGCGTCCAGGCAAAAACGAGCTAGAAACGCATGTAACGTGGTATGATTCGAATTTTTTCGCGTCACTCTACCAAAAGCGAAGCTAAAATTGTCAAAAATGTTCCCGTGTAGCACACATACGATATAAAAGTCTCTTTTTAATTCGAGCGAATAAAGTTTGAACGTTAATCCTTTCGGACGTGTCTTGTTCATCAGTTATCGAGATATTGTCGATATTCTAAAATTTTGGCTTCTCTTTCAAAATGGCCACTTTATGCGCGCACATGACGTTTATTCAAAACGTACGGCAATGTGCCAACGTGAAATACGATCGCACACCGCAAAACACGTTAAGCGGTTGCACGGTACTTTATTCGACACTCGCGATATCGATTTACACACGCGAGTCATTTTTTAGCCGGCACAAAAGAAAGCGATCGATAGATACGAGCAAATAGCGCGGAGAATCACGGATCAATACTACTTTGATTACGAATTTAAATCCCTGACACACAGTGCGATCTAGCGTGAAACCGCGAATGTACATCGCGCGTATGCATGCGCTGCGGGTTTTACAAAAGTCGAATGACAGCGATAACGGCATATGACATAGTGACATAGTGACATTTGACGTCACGAATGCGTTCACGCTTGAAGATAGTTACTTGCGGGTTTCACGCATCGCATTTACATAAATATTCATGCACCATGATTGTTCGAAGAAATGTCTTTAAGCGTTTGTAACGTCGAGTGAATAATATATTTAAATAATATAACGTCTCAGAAAATAATTACTTTACTCGATAATTATATCAATAACTAAAATCTATAGCGAAATGTATTTCAGTCTTTGAGAAGGATGTGTTATTTTAAACGATTATACAAATTATAAAATTCACTAAATGTACCGCTGTCACTAATCGTATTATTCATCGCGTCTACATAAATATTCGTGCACCATGATTGTTCGAAGTATCGTCTTCAAGCGTTTGTAACGTCGAATGAATAATTTATGTAAATAATATAACGTCTCAGAAAATAATTACTTTACTCGATAATCAGATAATAACTAAAATCTGTAGCGAAATGTATTTCAGTTTTCGAGAAGGATGTGTTATTTTAAACGACTATACAAATTATAAAATTCACTAGATATACCGCTGTCATTAATCGTGTTCTTCATGTTTCTTTACACATTATAAAATTGCAATAATATATTCTTGTTTACCATTAATTCCACAAATGACTCATAAGAATTCCAAAGTAAGAAATAGATGCGCCAAAAATATTATCTCGCACTGAAAACCAGACGATCGATTGGTTAATTTGACGTCACGAATGCCTTCATGTTTGAAGATAGTTACTTGCGGCTTTCAAACGCATCGCGTCTACATAAATATTCGTGCACCGTGATTGTTCGAAGTATCGTCTTCAAACGTTCGTAACGTCGAGTGAATAATATGTGTAAGTAATATAAGAGGAAATAATTACTTTACTCGATAATTATATCAATAACTAAAATCTGTAACGAAATATATTTCAGTTTTTGAGAAGGATGTGATTATGTTACTTTAAACGATTATACAAATTATAAAATTCAATAGATGTACCGCTGTCATTCGTCGTGTCGTTCATATTTCTTTACGCGCTATAAAATTGCAATAATATATTTCTATTTATCATTAATTCCATAAATGACTCGTAAGAATTTCAAAGTAAGAAATCGATGCGCCAAAAATATTGTCTCGCACTGAAAACAAGACGATCGATTGGTTAATTTGACGTCACGAATGCCTTCATGTTTGAAGATAGTTACTTGCGGCTTTCAAACGCATCGCGTCTACATAAATATTCGTGTACCGTGATTGTTCGAAGTATCGTCTTCAAGCGTTCGTAACGTCGAGTGAATAATATGTGTAAGTAATATAATAGGAAATAATTACTTTACTCGATAATCATATCAATAACTAAAATCTGAAACGAAATATATTTCAGTTTTTGAGAAGGATGTGATTATGTTACTTCAAACGATTATACAAATTATAAAATTCAATAGATGTACCGCTGTCATTCGTCGTGTCGTTCATATTTCTTTACGCGTTATAAAATTGCAATAATATTTTCCTATTTATCATTAATTCCATAAATGACTCGTAAGAATTCCAAAATAAGAAATCGATGCGCCAAAAATAGTGTCTCGCACTGAAAACAAGACAAGACGATCGATTGATTAATACGCGAAGCGCTTTTGAACGGAAAGGATGTGCATGAAAGTATGAATATATATAGTCAGTCAATCATTGAGTATCGGAGCTGCCCGCGAGAGCAGCGCTGATTGGTCCGTCGTCGCCGGTCGGCTCGTGGCTTTCGGCCCGCTGAGGCCGCCGCGAGCGCGAGCTCGAGTCGACTCGCTCGCTCAGTCGTACTCGAACCGCGCATCGGAAAGGTCGTGTGGCGCGCTCCCTCGCAAGTCCCCTCGCGGTGCCCCTGGTGCGTGCGCGCATACGTTAAGCTGCCACGCGAGACCTATCACGTTGTACATCTCGTGAAGCGTTGTGTTTCTCGTACGTATACATTAACAGCATATGTATGAAAACTTTAAAGTGCACGCGACGCGCAGCATTTTCAATTATCGTAATCGTCGCCTTTAAACTCGCGGTGATCGCTTTTTAATTGTGACGAAATCGAAGTTGGAACAGATTACAGAGCGCGTTGTTCAATTATAAATTATTAGAACGTATCGATGTGCGGATTCAGATGATTGCGCATCGCTTGTCACGCAAGATCATCAGTTTGTTTAGAGCAACGCTATGAAACTATCGTCGAAACTCGCAGCCATCTTTCGAGATCCTCCGCCTCCGCCTGCGTCACGTTCGAACGAATGAAAAATTCGATAACGGGCGGATTGTTTTCCATCGGGAAGGACAACGAGGACGACGACGCGAAAAGGTTTACCTGATCCCGTCGCGGGATCGGAAGCGCGACGATATTCGCGAGATTCGCACGTGTCTTGTTTCAAAAGGCAATATTTGCGCGATCGAATGTGCGTCGATTGATGCTGAAAAGAGTTTAAACGGAATTGGATCCTCCGAAGTGACGTCAAGACGCGCGTAATTTTTCGCGTGAAAGACGAAGACGATCTCCCCTCTTGTGTGCGCGCCGGGAAAAGATAGATCGTCTTCGACGTAATCTGGCGTTGACGTGACCTAGCCTAACCCAATCTAATGTAACTTTTGCTCAGTGCTGAACTTCACCTGGTCTACCACCCCTCGTTCGTCCTCTGTCGCCCGTCGAGGTTACGCGCGTGTGAGTGTGTGTGTGCGCGAGCGCGCGCGCGCAAAGACATTCTTCCAAACTGTGCTCGTCGGACGAGATGTAACTTCGTGCGCTGTCAGCTGGCTTACTGTGAGTAATTATAATTGCACTATTTAAATCATATTTTGAGGCAACACGCCGAGAATTATTGGCTACTCCTGAAACGTGCACCAGAAACGTACCGTTTTGGGATTTTTAATAATGTGATGAGATTGCCGAATTTACAGTTTCGGGCTATTTTAATTAAATTCTGGCGTGTGTACGCATATCATTTCATTTTATATTTAATAAAATAAAAGAGAAGGAAAGAGAGGAAGGGAGGAAGAGAGGGAGAAAGGACAGTATTAATCAAGTTTAAACCGCGTTTTGCAAACTCTTCTTTTTCTCTTGTTTTTATTTATTTTAAAATTCATTTTATTTCCTTGTAAATTGGATTTTTTAGCAACTTACAAAAAAGGAATATATATGCGAGTAACGTATCGTGTACAACATGGGAACATTTTTTTTTTTAATTTGGCATAAACAGAAACAAAGTCGAAATTAGTTTAACAGAAAAACGTTATATTCGACAGAGTAAACTTAATTGTTTTTATTCTATAATATCATGCTTGAGGAAATACAATAATAGTGTTTATTATAAAATTTTTATTTTTTTAATCTCTTTGAGCGATTTCATATCGTTTATAATACATCAAAAGTTGCAGCATGTTCTCTTTGTCTCTTTTCTTTGTAAAGTTATATCATTGCATATTTATATGTAATAACGCATGCTAAATTAAATATGACTAAAGAGTTTGTTATTTATTTAATAGCTGTGTAATTTTTCAATAAGCTTAAGGCGCATAGAATATTGCGGGATATAAAAATATATATTTTTCAAGCCTTTTATCTCGAACATTTATAAATATTCAATTATGCTCGTCATGGTATAGGTACATGAATATTTAACTATCAGTTATGAAGCAAGGACAGAAGCGTATCAAAGTTACATAGAGCTTTGAAGTAGTAAATACATTTTTAGCTATTACTTATGCTTTTAATCATGAAATTCCTTCGAAGCGAGAGTTGATCTGCATGTAATTTGGTCAACAATCTCATCACGTTTATATCCGAGATGAACATCATATTTGAAATATTCGTCTTTAACCCTTTTGTTATCTTCATCGTTCTCTTTATCTTAATCTAATTAGTATCAAGCCTTTGAGATAAAGTAAAGGAAAAAAAGAATTAAAAAGAATTGAAAGAACGAAGAAAGCAAATTGGATAGAGATTTAAATTTAATTATAAAATTTTAACATATTATATTTTATTAAATAATTACTAGTTTTTTCAAAATGTCTCATAACAATGTTAATAAAAAATAATATGTTTTGTCTACATTTTATAAAATAATGTATTTTAATATTTTTTACTATTTAATAGAATTGTGACTTTTGTTTAAAAAATTAGAATTATATAAAAATTTCACATTTTTGTCTTATTACATTTATTCTAATTTAATTATTCTACATACGTTGTAAAAACTATTTTAAATTACTTCTAATGCCGCATTTTTTAATATTAAAAATACATTAAAATACATTAAAAATATTAATTGAATCATGTATAATATAATTTAGATATTAATTTATAAATGAGAATATATATATATATATATATATATATATATATATATATTCTCATTTATATATAATTTTCGATATAATTTTTCATATATAATTCATATAAAATTTCATATAAAATTTCATATATAATTTTCGATATAATTTTTCATCCCGATGAAACTTGAATTCAAAATCATCTGGAAATGTACAGAATTTTCAAGAGACACAAACTGCTATATTAAAAATATCTAGACACGACGTTAAACTGTCTCGAGATTAATTGCGTTCGTAAAAAACAGCGGTCACGTGCAAAAAGACGCGGGGGAAGATCGCAGAAATAATATCCGCCTCCGCTTTAAAGGTTCATCGAACCGCGAAGGATCCGACACTCGCGCATCACGTTGGCACATGGCGCCGAAAATAGTCGGTCGTTTCGGAGCATCTTTCTGCGAGCCGTTTAGGAGTAGCCTGACGGAGAAAGATGAAGAGGGTGTAGCGTTAGTGCTAATTGGTTAATGTCTGTCACTACTTCGGTACGGAAGGCGTACAGAATTAAAACCAGTTATCAACTGACGAAAAGAAAAAAACCAGTGATCCTTGCCGCGATCTTTTTAGTAAGATTGTGTGTGTTTTGGTCTTAGAGTTTCACGATCATTTAGATGTAAAGGATATATTACAGTGTAGGAAATATTATTTTCTTTATTTATTGAAATAAATGTAAGACAATTATAAAGCAATTATCAAAACTAGAAATTACATTCGTCGTTTTAATACCGATTATATAATCTCATCACACATTTTTTTCATTTTCGTAATACACGTCGGATTTATTTGTCTAGAGATCTTGTTAAGGTCATGCAAGTACGACCTTATCGTGAATATATTTCGCGACCTCGAGGCACGTGATCCCACAATTAACAATAGTCGGACGTTTACTTTGGCGGTGCAAAGGAAACTGTCTTCGTTATTTGAAAAAAAACACATCGGAAAGAAAACCCTCTTCCATCTTCCTCCGATTTTTTTTGCAATTAAGTTTTAATTCTAATATATGCTTGTCAGCATGTTTATCATAGTTTGAAATTTGCATTAATGCCAACAAACTGAAATTACCTCATCGATAGACGCGTGTAGCGCATTATTAAATTTGATTTACAGAACTTATCTATATTGAACTACGTTAATTAATTTCTACAAGCAATTTTGTAATTTACGTAATATGGATAAATCGATGATCAGCTTACCGAGAGTTGCGTTGTTTGGATTGCACGCGTATATTTACTGAATATTACAGTAATTATGCTTTTATATGCTGGGACGGACTTAATACGCATGCATGCAAAATGCATGCGGCGGAATTCAAAATTGCGGTTTTCCGCGAGCTAATTGAAGATTATAAAATAATGAGAGCAGAGAAGCGTGCACATTCTTCTTGAAAAAATGCGGGATTTTAAGACAGGTTACGATTATGGCCTCCCTGTGCGTCGTAAATATCGTCGCGCGTTATACTTATCTTACATATTGTGCGCCTCGAGTGGTATTTGAGATTGTACCGGTAGCGTGTCTGTGTTATTTCTTGATATCCTTTATACGTGACTACAAATATAAAGTACCATTATCGAGTCTGGCTTCGAATTTTGCGTATAAGCGCACGATTCTAAGCGATCGGTAACCGCGATTCGATTCTCGCACGTAGAACGAAAGTATGAGAAATTGAAAGATTCCAGATAGGGCGCCGTGGTGTTCGCCACCGACATGTAAGTCCGTAGTCACGTGAGGCCGAGTGACTAACACCCTCGTCTCTTGGCTACACGGGAATACACTTATGCGCCGAGGCATTCATTTTCCGCTATCGTGAGCCGTACTTCTCGCGCAAGTGGCTCGCGAGATTGAAAAATTCTAGATAAGAAGATGTTAAACTGCATCCTTCCCGCCCCTTCGAACGTCACAAACGGGACCACGTGACTCTTTCTTCTGTATTAATACACTTTTAGACTCGGCTAGAGGGAATTAGAACGATCTGTATCGATATATAACTTCTCCACAAATTTCTGTTGAAATATCCTTTTAGTTTTCCTGGACGTAAATCTAACATCTCATAAATTTCAATATATTTTTCATGTAAATGTAGTATATGGTATAGTATTTTTACAGCGTGCATGCGAATAGTTACTATAACATGGATGGCATTACTTGGAATCGATTAATTATGAAACGCGTAACTATGATTAATTAACAAATATTCTATAAATTGATATTTCGTTTAATATTTATTAATGACAATCGATCGCTTGGAATGTCGCAAACGAAATTTCACGTATCATCGCGTCCGTGCACAACAAATATTGCCGGCGAACAACGTCGCGCTTTGTAAGAACGGCATCGAATCCGTCATATTTATGGAAAATTAATAGCATTCCGGCATCAGAAGGATGGAATGCGAAGTTGTGAATTCCTTTCCCGCGTTTTCCGCTTCCAATGTGAATTTATTCGCCGCGTAGCCATGCTTAATTCGCTGGTAATTACGCCGCGCTCGCGTACATTCTCCGCTTTGAAATTTCATCGTAAGCGCACAGTCATCCACCCAGCCATCCGCGAAACAATTTCATATTTTCAATGTTAAACTCAGAGCGAATACCAATATCGCGAAAATTTCTCGCGACGTATCCCCACCATTGCGACCCATTTGCATAGGACGACCGCTGTTGGCACGGCCGCATTTTCACGCGACGTTTTTATTAGGCCGATGCCGAACCGGCAGGAAATTTCTTTCCCGCCGTTTTGCGAGATTCTAAATTGCGCCCGCTGCATCGCGAATCCGGCATTATTCGCCCCTGCAGGACAAAAGTAAAGACCTTCGTTGCGCGATTGACGCCATTAGCGTGCACCATTGTAGATAGACGGGCGCATTTCAACGGCGAGTGCACTTAAAATTTCCATTTACTTGCTGCACGCAGTCCTTCGTATTGGTGCAAACGCATCCTTTTACGAAGAGGATTGCCGACCGGGTGAAATCTCCCTATCTCCTCGTTGCGGTTATTGTCATTGAATGTGGAGAAAAATACGTGGAAATATTTTGAAGTATACTTCAAGATGGCACTTGACCGAAATATCAATGAAGGAGAAATTTTATCGAAGACACTATTGCGTCTGGCATTTTGTGAAATTGAAAAATTTTGTAAAACGCTTTACATTGTTAATAATTGAAAGTGAATATTATATTCATTTATACAGTTCTGTTTTTTCATTAGCAATGTTTTACTTTAGCATGAATAAGATTTTTCATCTTGGTTCATTTTAATTTAAACAACGCGCAAGTTTAGAAATTTTGGATTACACGAATATTGTTTCAGAATATTCTTACTTGAATTCTGCAGAAAGACAATCAAACTTTGTGCCCTTTCGACACACATAATAGCCATTGCAAAATCGATAAGAATACCGTCTGTTTTTTATATTATTTTGCCCTCACATTAAGTTCCTGATACG